CTCCTCCCAAAAAAGTTAACACATTCATGAATACTGGGAGTTTAAAGTTAATATTTTACACAGTTGTGAGGCTAAACATTTCACAAAGGCAACACTACATCACAAAAAGGGCTTTGGATCGTCTAGATCTAAAGCAGAAAATGTCTCAGCAAACACTCGAACTTCACACTGAGCTCCTGAGCACACATTAGTCTAGCCACCCAGCTCGGGTTCTGCATGATGATAAGGAAAAACTGCAGACAAGCTCGCATATCTACTTGACTCTCAATGCCATGTGCCAACCACAGCTCAGTAATTGAGGCTTTTGCTACCTAGAGACCAACGGCTCTCTGCCATGGGTGATTCTGCCACACAGGGTACATTTAACCATGTCTGAAGACATGCGGGGCTGTTACAACTAGGGAAAGTGTGTTGTGGAAATCTAGTGTTGGGACAAGGGGCCTTACAATGCACAGGACAGCCCCTTCCCAATAAAGAATCCTCCAGCCCTAAATGTCGGTAGGCCAGCACAATAGGAATAAAAGAACCTCTTACCTCTCCAGTATAATTATATTTGCCTTTCAGAATCTTCCTGTAAAGCCTTGCATGGCTTTCATCATCAAAAGGCAAGACTCCGCTGAGTAAAACATACGTGATTACGCCAAGAGCCCACATGTCCACAGCACTAGTATAAGGTTTCCTTAGCAAAATCTCAGGGGCAATGTATTCTGGGGTCCCGCAGAAAGTCTTCATTGTCCAGTCACCATTTTTGTTCCCGGAGTATGCCAGACCAAAATCAGTGATTAAAATCTTCGACTCTGCCCCTGGATGATAGTACAAGAGATTTTCAGGTTTTAGGTCCCTATGAGTTATGCGCAAAGCGTGCAAATATCTAATCCCATCAGTGACCATCTGGAGGATTCTGACAGCATCCCGCTCTGTAAAGGACCCCTGAGCAATGAGTCGATCAAAGAGCTCCCCTCCTGTAGCCAGCTCCATCACCATGTAAACTCGATCTTGGCTCGCAAAGATTTCGGTGAGCTGGACAATGTAATGATGGCTAACTCGCCTCAGGACGTTGAGCTCAGATTCACATGCTTCTCTGCCTTCTCTCACTCCGATGTCCATCACTTTTATTGCAAAAGGCTTCTTGGTGATCTTCTGCTCTACCCTGAGAACTTTGCTGAAACTTCCTGTCCCAATAAGGGCCTTGATATCATATCTGTAGGGAAGAAAAGCTGAATCTGTTATCCTCTGATGATTCTCAGAAGTATATAAGTCCATCCTTTATTGCATCTTTTCTAACCTTATAACATCCCCACTAGATTTTTCTGCTTACTATTGCTTACTTGTGTTTATCGTTTTTAAAAGCCTCTGCAAATTCTTTCATTATTTTTTTTTTCTTTTGTCAGAGGGCATATACACTTGCTGGGAAGAAAGAGAGAGGGAAAGTGAGAAAGCACTCCCACCACGGGGGATGGCCATGCCACAATCCATTCTTTTCTACTTATCCCAACTTTCAAGATTTTGGGCACACACAAACACTTTTGAAGATAATCCCAGAAGATAAACACACATGTGCCCCAGGGTGTTTTTCAAGTGACCAGATCTGGGACTCGAACTATGTTAGTCATGTGGGACCCAGCTGCTTTATCCAGCATGCCACCTGCTGGACTACAAATCCTCTTGCAAAATGGAGGGAAATGATAAAAAGGTGATTGTAGAAATAGTCTTAAGTATGATAACTACCATTCATTATGCATTTAGTCGATGCCAAGAATTTTTTTAAAGCTTATGTATTTCTTTAGTCCATAAGTAAAACAGAGATACACAAAGAAATATTACCCCCAAAGAGGTCTGAATGTTGCAATCCACCCCAGTTTCAGTTACCCCAGATCATGGGCCCCCAGGAGTCTGTTACTCAGGAAGGTCTCTGGAGGTGTTGAACCTGGGACCTCCCATGTGGCTCAGCCTTGCAAAGCATCATATTCTACAAATGCACCAGTATCTGGCCTCAGGGGTTTTATTTTTTTTTTTTTTAAATCTTATTCTTATAAAAACTCTACTCGGTAATGTAAGAATATCCCCTTTTTTGAGATAAAGAAATTAAAGCTAAAAAAGGTGATTTTCTAGTCACATGGATTGTAGTTGTAATGGGTGAGGTTTAAATCCACCCCATCCAATGTGTTTCACCAAAGTTTCCTAAAAGAATTTTCAAACTTCTATCATTTTCTTTCCCTTCCTACAGCTTTGCTTTTATTCTTCTTCAACAGCCACCACCAAGTTAGCTAAGGAGAATAGAAAGCAGCTTACTCAGGTTATAACCTCTCAAAGAGGGAGGATCCATATCAGGAGAGAGGGCGTAAACAGCATGTCTCTCGGGCTACTTGTCTGGGAGCTCAGTCCCGGGCATATCTCTACACAGCAACTCTTAATAATCAAAAAGTAGTCATGGCAATGCTATTACAAAAGCAGGTTTCAAAAGTGGGGTAGAAGTAGTATCAGGGACACTCTGGAGCCAGCAGCTTTCTACAGTCTCTTTCTAACTTCATCCTCCTGCACTTGTAATTTTTAAGCAGCAGAGAGTGTAATGGTTAGATTGTTGGACTCCCACATGGTTGTCCATGGTTTGAGTGCCAGACCTGGTAGCTTAAAATTCATGCAGGGCACATGTGCATGCCTGTCCAAAATCCCAAGAGAAGAATGGAGAAGAGATTGGCATAGCCATCCCCTCGGGAGGGGGTGGGGAGTGACTTCTCACTTTCTGTCTCTCTGTCTCTTTCTGTATCTCTGGTGAGCACACATGCCCTATAGCAGAAATCACTCTCTAAAATGAAAGAATTTTAACATGGGATAGATGTCAATAATGTGTGAACTAATTAGCTCACCAGCAGGCCAGGAAGGCTGCTCATATTTCACAAGCTAGAGTCTTAAATTATCCATGCAAATTTACATTTAAGAATACTTTCAAACTTAACTCTCAATCTTTTTTTTTTTTGAGAGAGATTTTTACTATAGAGGGTGTGTGCTCACCAGAGAGACAGAGACAGAGAGACAGAAAGTGAGAAATCACCCCTCCGGGGGGCGGGATAGCCATGCCACAAACCCTTCTCCTCCATTCTCCTCTAGGGATCTTGAGCATAAATGCACACGCACTCAACCTAAGTTTTAAGTCATTCAGGACTCAAACCATGGTTGACTACGTGGGAGTCCAGCAACATAACCATTACACCATCTGCAAATCCCTCTCAATCTTTGTTCAAGAAATGTTGAGAAGGGTCAGCAGGTAGTGTGGTAGTTAAGGTGCTGAACTTCCACATGGCCAAAAATGGTTCAAGTCCCAGTCCTAAAGGCTTACTTTCTCACTTTCTCTGCCCCTACCCTCCACCCTTCATCCTGGTGAGCACACATCCCCTACAGTAAATTAAAAATAACAATAATAATAATAATAATAAATAAAGTTAAATAAATAAACCTTTAAAAGAAAAAAGAAATGTTGGGAAATTGCTAGATTTAAAAAACAAATTTTACAGCTAGAAATGATATAAAACAAAAGTTTGACCCATGCCCTTATTTCAAAGATGAAGAAATTTGAAGAACAGGTTAACCAATTCATTGTTTAAACTGTCAAGTGAGGATTAGGACCCAGGTCTCCTTACTTGCATCATAATTTAGTGCTTTTCTCACATTATTAAAATTTCTCCCAAGTAAGGATGCCAGAGAATGCAATATTCCTAAAGATACTCAGAGGAAAGAAATCCTTTAAATCACATACTCAATAATACCAAAGATTCTAATGCAAATTTCAATCTGTGCTTTATTTATTTATTTTTAGAGACTTTTTTGCTATAGGCCGCAAGCACTCACAGTAAAGAGAAAGACAGAAAGAGAAAAATCACCCCCCAGGGGGATGGCCATGCCACAATCTCTTCTCCATTCTCCTCTCAGGATTTTGGGGATGCACACTTATGTGCCTGGCATGGGTTTTAAGTCGCCAGGTTCAGAACTCTAACCACAGTCAGCTACGTGGGAGTCCAGTGACGTAACCATCACGCTATCTGCTGGTCCCTCAACCTATGTTTTAAACAGTCTGTTTCTTTTTGCTGAGTTTATAATTTTTTTTTATTTTTGCCTACTTATTTGTTTCTTATATTTCCATTTTTACTGAATAAAATGATATTTGGCTGTACCAGCTTACAGAAAACAACTTTGTTCTACCGAGTGCATTTAATTTTCTGCTCAATTACCTTATCAAAACAGATAGCAAATTAGTTATCTTAAATAGACTTTTTCCCCTTTGCCCTTTTGTTCAGTGTGATTTTTTTTTTTTTTGAGAGATTTTCACTATAGGGCGCATGCGCTCGCCAGACAGACAGAGAGAGACATTAGAGACAGAAAGCGAGAAATCACCCCCCAGGGGGGATGGTCACACCGCAATCCCTTCTCCTCCATTCTCCTCTTGGGCACGCACGCACACGCGCCCGGCGTGAGTTTTAAGCCACCAGGTCCGGGACGCGAACCGCGGTCAACTACGTGGGAGTCCAGTGACATAGCCATTACGCTAACTGCTGGTTCCCCAGTTTCGGTGTGATTTTGAAGATAATCACAGGCATTCCGAATTCTATTGCTTTGCAGACCAACCAAGTTTTACATTACCTCTAATATGGATGAAAGTGTTTTGCAAATACTAATTTATCATAATGCCCACAAACCGCAGGCAAACTCATTTGCTCATGGAATTAATCAGCAGATATCAGACAAACTACCATTTCTGAAAAGCTACGCTCTCGCTCAAATAAAGGAAGCTTTATTCAATACTGTGAATGGGCCTTTATATACCAAAAATTGGAGAAAATGCTAGTAATTTGGCGTTAGAGGAAACAGAAGGCTTTAAACCAAGATTTAGAGCGGTGAAGCCAACAACTTCAGTGTGCCATTCAATCTGAGGCCGTGTCCCATAACACATTCCTAGAACTGCAGCCTTGCTTGTGAATCCTGGAGGGTCCTGAATGGTGACCATTTTTATGACTCGAGGGGCTATACTGTGTACTGTGCCTAGCACAGTGGAAACAACAATACATGTTGAATGATAAAGAATCATTTACCAAATAAATATTATTACTGAATCATCATATACAGTTTGAAAACATTAAGTAAAGATCAAATTGAGCAGGGGAGATTGCATTTGCCAGATCCTTCCTTCTCCTCCACTTCCACTCCTCCAACATCCCTACCCAAGCACACGCATGCACACATACATTCTCTCTCTCTCTCTCTCTCTCTCACACACACACACACACACACACACACACAGCAGCTTCAAAGTCACTTTTGTAAGTGATGAAATTTCACTTTATCCCAGATTGCTTTTTTAACTTCCAGAGAGTATGTGTGCTAACCAGAGAGAGACTGAGAGACAGAGAGGGAGAAAGTACCCCCTTTCCCACTGGGGTGTGGTTAAGCTGCAATCTCTTCTCCATTTTCCATCTTGCCAGGATTTGGGGCATGCAGAGGCACCTGGTGTGCCCTAGAAGCACACAATCCACTGGGGCCAGGATTGACAGCAGTTAGTAACGTGGGATCCAGCTCCCTTTACTTCCAGGCTTTGAGGCCAGGCCCTCCAGATTGTGTTCATTGGAAATATTACATAAATCTTGGCTGCTACAAACTAGGACTTTATGAACACAAATTTTTTTAAAAAATGGAGACAGTAATATTACAACCTGTTTGAAGGGAGAGATTGTAATGACCTACCAAAAAGAAAGTAAATAGAGTCAGATTTAAATTTTTCATCCCCACTCTGCAAGAACTATAAATGGAATCCCAATGGAGGGGAAAGACTACTATGTTTTAGGTCTAGTCTGACATGAAATTAGTCACTTAACCTTTAGGTGCTCAACTTTTTAATCATTTAAAAGTGAACCTTAAGTGAAAGTCCTCTGATGCTCTTATAATGCTGAGCTCCTCTGCCTATTTATTTATTTATTTATTTATCTTTATGATCCCTTTGCACTCTTTAAGGCTTAGACTATCCCTGGAGTAGGCGGTAGGAGAGTAGATAAAGATTAGACCAGAGTAGTGTCATCTCCCAGACCACAAAGAACCAGAGATGCTATTTAACCTGTTCAGTCTTGTAAGACCCTGTATCCACTCAGATTCAACTACAGTTACATCAGCCAGCTTAGCTCTTGCTAACTTGAGCAGCTAATGGACTAATTCTGCAATAGTCATTACAATCTTGAAGTCCTTCCGGAGGCCAGGGTATCATTCCACAGGGACTGTGGACAGAACACTAGGATAAAGTGGGCTTACCATCCGTGGACTAGAAGGGTCCTGAGAAGCCAGCTGAGTCACCCACCACTGTGTTCCACCAAACTCTACAGAGGGGACGGGAAGTCTGTGAGTTCCTTAGTCAACATGTCCAACTGGTACACTCAGAGGAAATCATTTCTCAGGCTAACCACCCTGCAAAGTCAGGTCTTGACTGCATTTCATAAAGATAATAATAAATATGGCACTAACAGCGAAGTGAGGACTTGGGCCATGCACTACGCAGAATAATTCACATATTACTTCAAATATCCTCAGAACAATCTTAGGAGATAGATATTATTATCATTGTTCCCATTTTACAGAAGCAGAAACTGAGGAAAGGAGACCGACATTCCAAATGGCACACAGCAGAGGAGACAGGAGTGGATCTCAAGTGAGGGCCCATATACACAAGGGTCCATTTCTACTCTAACTATAATTCTGTTTTCTAGAATTTAGTAGGAAATCCTGTACAACCATGGTCTGTCCGACTAGACTCAGCCCCAGTATATGGGTGGCAATTTCCCTCTACCCACTGACCTGGGGGTGGGGGTGGGGGGTGAGAGGCCTCCTCCTTCCTCAGCTGTAAGGATTCCCTCCCTTTCCCTGCCCTAGCTCCCATTGTTTTCCCATCTTCTGCACTCCGCTCCGAGATGTCAGAGAGCAATTACATTGGACACTTCCTAAAAACAGCAAGGAAGCCCGTATGCCAGAATACTGATAGGGGTGAAGACTGTGAAAGTAGGAGAGAGAGATCTCAACTCCGGTGAAACGAGCGTTTTTAAGATGAGATCAGCTGGACGGAAAGAGCTGGAGGATGTCTTGGGGTAGGCAGGTCAGTGTGATTAGAACACCTGTGTTTGCCACCTGATGCTTAAAAGCTCGGCCTCAGAGATCCCGGCTCTTTATTGAGGATTGCACTTTGAAGGGAGGGCTCCCAGGTCTTTGGAGAGACATTCCTGTGTTGTAATAGATTTGCATCTCCAAGAGGCAGTGTGCTTCAGGAAGGTCAGGGGCCTACACCTGCCAAGTTTAGTGGAGCCCAAGGCCCCTTAAGGCTTCTTGGTGGGTGGTTTATCTTCCTCAACCCAGCCCAGGCCACCCCTTTCTGCGCGCCTCACGTGGCGCTTTACCTGGCTAGGACCCGAGGGTCGAACTTGGCTCGGTAGTAGGCCACCTGCATCCACCGAGCCGCCTGGGCCGCCACCTCGGGCCCGGGCCCGGCGCCTGCAGCGCTGCGGTGACTTTGCCGCTCTGGCTTGACCTCGGCCAGCGCGGGCGGCTCCGGGACCACCTTCCTGCTGGCGCCGCAGCCCATCCCGCAGCCCGCGTCGCGAAGCGCTCCGGGTAGGGGGACAGTCGGGGTCTGAGCGGGCTCCGCGTGCGGCTGCCAATTTATTCCCGGAGCAGGTGGGAAGGGGCTGGACAGAGCCACCCCCACTTCGCGCAGATCCGAAAGAAACCCCACTGTGCGGCCAGGGCTAGGAACCCGCCCCCAAACCTGCGCCCACCGCCTTGACTGTAAGTGAGTAAGTGACAGTGATGGCTCTTCCCCGGGTGCGCCCAGCAGGAGGCACAGCCTGCTTGGGGCTCAAGCTCTGGACCTCACTTTTCTGTCTCTCAGTTAAGGAAGTGAACATACAAACTTATATGATCTGGGGAAGGATAAGGCGTTTCTAAGACTTTAGGTCTCATATCCAGATAATACAAACATTATTATTTTTTAGTTCTAAGAGCTTGTAGTATCTACGGTATAACACATTATCGATCTCTGGTATTAATTAGGCAGCGGATACTGGCCTGCGTCCTGCACTTCTCTAAGTTTCTTAGGACTGGAAGACACCTGTCCTTCACCCGCTGGGTATTCGTCAGTCATCGAGAGAGAAACAGGAGCAACAACAGATTTCTGACTTCAGCCCGATATCCTTGTCAGATAGGATAAAAGCTGTTACAAAGGCTAAACTAGTGATATTTTAAAAATTATATATAAATATAAAATATAATCTTACATTTGTACATGTTTCATCCTTGTATTCGTGTATATCTATACGTGTATGTAAATAAGTGTGTGTGTATATATATAGTATAGATAATATATTTATATTTATCATTCGTGATCAATATTTTGTATATTGATTATATTACTGTATTGATTTGATGTCATCGATATTGATTTTATCCAATAATTCAATGAATTATATTAATATGTTTGATGTATTATATTCACGTTCCTGTGTGGGAAGTGAAAGTCAAGCAAGTCAACGTCACAAGCCTAGCAAGTGGTAGAACCCACCTGGGAGGACATGTCTCCCAATTTCCAGTGCACCTTCAATTCTGGCATTCCTTTCTAATTTCATTTAATGTGTCGTTTGGTTTAACAGAGAATGTCTGTGATGGGTAAGTTAGTCACAGGTATTCCCAGAACTGTATTTTGAAGAAAACATGGCAATATAGGTTGGGTGTAGCTGAGAGAAATCCAAAAGGAATGTAACTATCAAATGAAGGGTCTCTTTTATTTTGGTAAAGAATTCTGAAAATTTGGGCCAGCAGGTGGTATGGTGGTTAAGGTGCTGGATCCTGCAAGGCCTACTCCGCAGTTTGAGTCCTTGACCCAGTGGCGTGAAAAATATGCCAGGTGTGTCCTGAGAGGAGAACCGAGGAGAAAGGATTGTGACATGGCCATCCCCCGGTGGCTGTGACTTCTCACTTTCCCCTCTCTCTCTGTCTCTGTGTCTCTCCATCGAGCACATGTACCCTATTTCAAAAATCTTAAAAAAAAAAAAAAATCCAACACCAAAAAGAATTCTGAGAGTTCTCCAACTGCTAGAAAACAAGAGAAGGTTGATTTTAGGCAGGTGAACAACTCCTTATTTTATATCTCAAGCTTTCAGCTAATTTGCCAAATAGGCCACACTAACAGAATGGAAAAAGAGAACAGATAGAGAAGCCTGAAATTAAGGTGGCACTCAAAGAACAGTATCCATTCCTCCGACAGCCTGGATATAAAGGTGTTTGGATGAGTGTCCCCCACTGTGAATTCTAGATGTGGACACCCGTGAAAGCATTGGCTAGTTCCACCAGGCAGGCAGTCCCTCTGACTCTCTGGTTTCTCCCAGTTGCTTTATCGTGGGCTACACAAGAGCTGTTCTAGCCATAGCTGGCCGAATGACAAGGATAACTTTTTCAAGAATCTCCTCCTACGCTTGATTCATGTTCTTTGAAAATTGGCTAATACAGTCACTGATTTTAAAAACTTTTTAAGGGGCTGTCAGGTGGTGTGGTGGCTAAGGGTACTGGACTCCCTCATGGTCAACCACAGTTTAAGTCCCAGGCCTGGTGACTTACTTTCTCACTTTTTCTCTCTCTCATTCTGTCTCTCGCTGGTCAAAAATTTAAATAAATAAATAAAGTTAAATAAAAAACAATTCTTAAAAATTTTTTTTTAATTTTTTAAAAGTGAACATTAGGGCTAGTGCCATAGCCTAGAAGTATGGAAACCAGATCCCACATGGCCCACCACGATTGGAGTCCAGGACCCAGCAGCTTGAAAAACACACCAGGCATCTTTATGATGTGCATGCCCATAATCCTGATAGGATGGAGACATGGGGAAGGAATTGTGGCATGACCAAATGAGGGACTTTTTTCCTCTCTCTGCCTCTCTGGTGAGCGCACACAACTTCTGCCAATTAAAAAGAAACAAATGAAACATGAATAGAACACAGTTGTATTTTGGAAAGTACAGCTGTTTACTGGGAATGTTGATAACATAAATTCTATGCCTGGAGACAAACTTTAGCTATCTATTTGCAACTTAACTTGCAAGAACTTTTACTTTGAAATGTTAAAATGATTGTAAGTATATTGTTTTCACCTACCTGAGCCCTGAAAAAAAAATTCTAAAGTATTATGTAGAATAATATCCTAAGACGTGGAGTTTCCAGTGTGTATGTTTCTCTATTGTGCGTAACTGCTTCATTATAAGACATTTAGGCATTGTATGGGACCAGATGCTCTTCACACATTAATTAACTATGTATACTTACTAACATTATACACTATAACCTAATTAAAGTAATAAAATTGTTAAAATGAGCTTTAGTCTTAAAGCCAGTTTTTTATGAACTTTTATTTTTACATGAATGTATTTAGGGCTTACAAGTAGCTTCCTGTAACATGCCAGCTGAATAAATGAAAATAACATTTAGCACTTTGTTCTCTGAGCTGCACTGCAGCAGAGCTTTATGAAGAGTAATTAACAGATTGAACCTCCACCTCCTAAACAAAAAGTCTCGCCTCAGCTGCCATTCATTTGCCCCCACATCTTACTAGACAGTCGTAACCATAGGAAGTGATTGGAATAATATATTATATTACAATCACTCAGTGTCAGGTTCCAACTTAGACCCAGTTTTTAAAAATAACAGAAGGGCATATAGACCTAAATCTAGAATGTGTTGGACAATAGAGATTCGGAACCCACAGAAACATCCTAGGATAAATCCCCAGCTTATATTTCATAAATTGATTTGATTAAGTGATTTCATTTGTGAAAAGACTGAAAGCATTTAAGCAATTATACCAAGTCAAAACATGTTAAAGACTTAAACCATTATTTAGGGAAAACACATTTCTCTTACTCGAACAATATTGGTGGTAAACATAAAAATGTGTGTACATTTTATATTCGATTCCATTTGTCATATTTCAGTACACTTCAGTAAAATAAAAAGAGGAAAGCAAGCCATTAGGAGTATCCCAAAGAGTAATATACTGGGAAGCCTCCAATACTATACTCTCCTTTATCTTTTTTTTAAAAAAAGTATTATTTATTTATTTAATTCCATTTGTTATTATAATTATTTTTTAATTGGACCAGAGAGAGACAGAGAGAGAGACAGTGAGAGAGAGAAAGGGAAAGCAAGAAAACCAGCCGCCAAGTCCGAGACTCCAAGTGTAAGGGGCCATGTAGGAATCCAGTGCCCTCAACCTCCATGCCACCTGCTGTTCCCTACTCTCCTATATCTTAAAACGAAGAAGATATATAATCAAAAGACATTTTTAGCAGTTAACAGGAAGAATTCACTTCAATTTGGAATACGTTCCTCTTGAAGTAGCCACAATTCTGTCGTTTTTCACATTTTAGTTCTCTTTAGAGTCTCCTACTGGGATTAATTTTCTCTAAAGTGATCTGCCTTCAACATCAGTTTGAAGGAGCTCATCTTATTGACTTCCTTTTCCCCAAGGTGTAGGATTTGTGTTTGTAATGACAACTAGCATGGGGCTCTTTTAAGCTGATTTCACATACAGCATGGGGCATGGAACAAACAGAGCAAAGCTATTCTCAAAGCGTTCTCCGCATAAACAAATAGCTGGAAGCTTCCAAATAGGACATCATTGTGTGAAACTCAGGGATGGAAGGAACTTTTCTGCTACCTTTGCTAAGTGATTTCACACCTTGCAGAAATGGGACTATAATAATTCAGACACATCAGTACTGATTTTGTCTGACTAAATATTTGTCCTTCACTACACTAGGGAATCATTCTTGTTAACTTGCATATCTTTACATTTAGCACTAAGGAGATAATTTAGTTTTTGCGGAATTTCAATTTTTACAAGTTATTTGTCTTGTAACTACAAAAAAGGAAGATAAATATTAGTACGTTGTAATAAGTTGTAGGTAAAATCTCTGCTGTCAAATAAAAAAGACAAATTTCCCTTTTTTTGTACTAGTGACTCAGAGAAACCCTCCAGCAATAAATGAAGTTTCCCTGATTTAGTGTATAAATTTAAAAAGATTAAGTGAGAGAGCATTTTACTATATTTTAGCTGATCTACCTAAAGGATTTCTGCTTTTTCAAGTAGGTAGTTTGCATACGAAACTTTTAAAAATGATAGAAATATTGTAGTCCCTGTATCCACCATGGATTCCATTATAAGAAGACAAAAATGGTCACTTACGGGGCCGGCAGGTGGCATGGTGGTTAAAGGCACTGGATTCCCACATGGCTGACTGTGGTTCAAGTCCTGGACCTGGCGGCTTGCTCTCGCCCGCTCTCTCTCTCTCTCTCTCTCTCTCTCTCTCTCTCTGTCCCTCTCTGGTCAAATTGAAATAAATAAATAATAAATAATTTTTTTAATGGTCAGTTATTTTTATTAATATAAAATACAAGGAGTCTTCAAAAAGTCTATGGAAATAAATAGTATTGAACTATGAATGGAGTTCCCTTTTTTTGTTGTTGTTTTGTACCATAATAAACACATACTTTAATTCTATTTTTCTGCGCATTTTTGGAAGTCCTTTGTATTTTGGGG